GTTTGCGGAGTAGGTAGTTGAAACTGGGGCAGCACAATATGTCTGCCAACCGACGCGCCTTACACCGCATTCCGATCCATCGTGCCTGGACCTACTGCTAACGAGTTGCGAACAACCTGTACATGGAATTTAGGTCATGGAGCCTCTGGCAACCAGTGGCCACTCGATAGTGTTAGCCAGCCTATAGCTGCCGCTACCCTACTCGCGTCTGCCAGAGCCGTCCTACGATTATTGGAACACCGACTTCAATGGTCTAGATCGAGTCGCCAGTGAAGTAGACTGATCTGTTGAAGTCTGTTCGTCTGTTATAAAAGAGGGTATGCAATCGTTGTGTGCTCGTTTCGTAGCCCTTTAGTATCGGAAAGCTGGACCAGTGTAGCCACATTGGTTCGACAGGGAGTATAGCCAATTGGCTCGACGGCGACGCGAATTGTGGAATAAATTCCTCGGTTCTGGCTCTGCCGACGATTATGAGGCGTATGAAAGGCAGTGGAATCGGTGCAACAGCGCAAAGGCGTCGATAGTTCGAAGATGAGCTTGCAACCTCAGCGAAGACGGCCCCCAAGATGATTTTTGCTTACGTGAAGCGGCGCATGAGGCCCGCAAGTTATGTAGCTGTCAGAGTGCACTGGCGGACAGACTCTGACCCCCAGCACTGAACGTGCGTCCGCATTGGCGGAGTACTTCGCTTCCCTATAAACAAGTGGGCACGCGCCTATGAACAGCTCGACGTGTGAAGCCGCTACTGAACTCGAGGTCCTTGATTGCGGTGTCGATGTCCGCAGTCTACTCGCCAGTCTTGATGGCACAAAACCTGCCGGATCCTATGGACTTCAAGCACTAATTTGAAAGTCCTTATCGGCCATCATCTCATCTACCGTGACGGATCTGTCCAACAGATCGCTGTCCGAAGGTGCATTAGTGACAGACTGGAAATGCTCGATAGTGAAGCCGATTCCAAAAGGTGGTGACTCACGCAATGTGGACAATTACCGGACGATTTGTCTCATCTGTTTTGGCGGTGCTCAAGAGGATTGTGAAAATGGGTCTCCTCCAGCTGCTGGAGTCGAAATATCTCCCAACGCCGGTACAGCACGGCTTCAAGAAGAGCCGCTCGTGCATCACCAACCTTCTGTTGACGCGGCAGGAATGATTGCAAGCGTTGAATTGGAGGAAGTCAGTGAATGTTTTCTACACTGATTTTAGTAAAGCTTTCGATAAAGTGAACCATATGGTCCTGCCCCACAAGCTGAGAATGTGTGGTGTTGGAGGTGCACTGCATCAGTGAGTTCCTTATTGGGAGATCATGGCGGGTTCAGGTGGATGACCACCTAATGGAAAGCTAGTCGTCCACTGGCGGCGTACCACAAGACACACTATTGGGGCCCATTTTATTCCTGATCCACATCAACGTAGTACCTCAGCTTCTTCGGTCGCCCTGCGCATTATATGTGGATGAACTGAAGATTTGGAGGATTATTAATCCTTCCGGCGACTGTGACGTTCTTTAGCAGGACTTCGACCGCCTATCCCAGTGGTCTGAGGATTTGACCTACCGGTCAACCCGGTCAAGTCCTCGTTTATGGGCCTGGGGCAGGACAGCAATGGGTATGCGTACACCCTGGCCGATCACCCGCTGCATCCCACCAGTTCCGTAAAGTATCTAGGCGTACTCTCACGCTGTGATCTGAAGTCTGTCGACAACACGAACAGATGGTACGCAAACGGATTACGCCTGCCTTGGGCACTTAGAGGCAGCTTCTGCACTTGGTCTGAAGAGATTGCCACCCGTCTGTTCTCTTCCGTAATATGACCGGTGTTTGAGTACGGCTCACCCACCTAGTGCTCGATCACAATAGATGAGGTGTAGAGACTAGAACGGGTCCAGCATGTAGCTACTCGGCTCCCCCAGTTTAGGAGTATGTCGTAGGAGGACTGATGTAGGAGACTAGGGCTTTATACCCTGTCATATCGTCGCCTTGAAGTTGATCTCATTATGACGCACCGGATACTGCACCTGGGTCACTTCCCTATGTTGAAGCCGCTGCTGCACGTTCGCGCACCAAGCAGCACACGTGAACACCAGTACAAAACTAGTAGTACCGAATTTAAAGCACATCGGTCACCCGTTATGCTTCGAGCGGTGAAATATCGGAATTTAAGAGATTCCTTGACGCGCACTTTGCGGACTACAGGTATAGGGAGTGTATGCACTCGGATAAGATGTAGTGCAGCTGCAATATGCTGCCACCGCGCAGGAATCAGCGACGTGATTCCGCGCATGTGCCCGATCCACCTACGATGGAGCAACACAGATTTTTATCTTCTCGCTCTCTATTCTCAGTATTCAGAGACCATGGGTGGCTAGCTCTGCACCACCGACAGCCCCACCAACACACCACATATTCAGTGTAAATCCTAAGAAATAGGAACAAAAGGCATGTGCATGCAGGCCAGGTTTAACCAATGGAGCCGACCCACACGCCTTTAACATGTACAGTAGAAACATTCCTGTTTATCTATATGGGGAATAATGCGTACCAGACGTACACAAGGAATTAAATAGAGGGCAATACGGATTAACAGCAGATAAATGGTTGGCGTGTAATGGAGATTAGTGACAGACGATGGAGGGAAAGGAGAGCGTGTGACGAAGTAGTGGTGTGGTGCATGGTTTCTTCAGCAGGCACGATACGACCTAGTTACCCAAGTCGAAGTAGGGAGTTGTCTTAGGAGACACTACCCCGAGCGTGTAGCTAGAGGGCTTACCGCAAGGCAGCAGGGCGAGTTAAGGGAAGCACGCTCACTGGGAATCGGTGACAGGTTTCTCGGTTCAACCGATTTTTGTTTGGTAAGGCAAAAATCAGGGTCCAACTTTTCCTATAATTCCAGTACAAGACTGCGGGAATACAATGTTCAGCAGGGGTGAACTAAGGGACAGTGACTTTATTTAGTGGCCAGTCACATTGGCCAGGTCGCAGTGTTGTTAAACGGATATTTGTGGCTTTTTATAGGGAGAACGCTTGTCAGCCGAAAACGCACTACGTCCAGGAGCACTACCGCCAAACCACTTGCTGAATTCTGTTCTTCACAGATAGCATCCACAACCCCTTCATTTTCTCTGCCTTTGTTCTCTGGCTATGGTACAAAAATTAGATTCCAACACGTTGAAGTCAACCGTGTATTCAAAAATCCGAACTCAAGGAAGGCTAGTGGACCCGATAATCTTCTCCAGTTGTCTTGAAAGCGTGTTCTAATACCCTCACTACGTCCTTGACGGATCTTTTTAATCGGTGTCTACACAGTGGAATCATTCCCGATATTTGGAGGCCTGTCAGGATAACACCCGTGCCAAAGAAGGGATCCACGGTATACCGGAGGAGCTGGTCTCTGACAATGGGCCCCAGTTTACCAGCGGTGCGTTCCAGGCCTTCGCAACCAAGTGGGAACGTGTGGCAGCACACCAGCCCAAACCACAGTCTACCGAATGGAAAGGATGAGTCGGCAGTGAAGTAGATCAAACGACTGTTATCAAAGGCTAGAGCTACTGGCGAAGACACGTACCTCATATTACTAGAGAATCGCAACACTCCAACGGCTCGTGGTTTGCGCCCAGTGCAGCGCCTATACAGCAGGCATTCGCCACACTTCTAGGCCAAGTCTCACCACATAACAAGACACTACAGAACAGTCTGAGAAGACGGATGACCTCTCAGAAACAGCACTACGACCGAGGTGCAAGAGCACTACATGAGCTAATAGTGGGAAGTGTGAATTCAGGCAGTGCTCGATGGTCAAGAGAGGTGGAAGAAAAGTGAGCTCAAACGTCGGTGCCAGGTCATAAGAAATAAACGTCCATAAAAAATCGAGTGCATTTGTGGTGACACCGGAGACAACGGTATGAATTGGGAGTGGAGCACCCTATGGCGTGGGGCAAAGAAACCACGGCCGCAGGTACAGCGAAGACGACGCGGAGTGGCAAGGCGTATGGAGCGCATAGCAATATGGAGGCGCAAGGGCACGAAAAAGGGTGAATATGATGGATGTCAGACCAGAGTGAACGGATAGACCAACGGAGCGAACCAGAGAGCCAATGGGAGGCAGACGTGACAGATTCGATTACCGGACTCGGATTGGCCGATATTCGCGTAAGTGACTCAGCGTTTGTTTAACTGAGGCAAAGGAAGAACCTCATGGACTCGGAAGGGTCATTAATTATGGATTGGAACGCGGAACTTATATCGAGGTCGGCTTGCCAAACATACCGTAATTTCCACTAAGCTGACTTTGCGGAATAAACGCTTGTCGCTGAAGGACTGAGTTCTGCAACAGCGGGGATCCAACAAATGGCGCAAAGTGAAGCCTCAATTTCGATGAAACGCGACTTTTACAGGCGCCAGTCAGTCTGTGAAGAACGAGAAAGACAAGTAACTTAGAGGCGATGGAGACCAGACTGATATCTTTATGGCTGCGATATTCTGAACGCGAGTTCACAGTGAATAGGGGGACAATAACGGAAAAGTTCCAGTTAGTTGCTAGGGTTTCCTGTTCCCACAGTTGCAAATCGCACTTCATACTGAGATTGCGTGTCGTAATCCAATCAAATCGCACGTATTCTAAACTATATGTACGTGTGTTAGAAGTGAGAATAACAAAGCCTCTTCATTAGCAGTGAACTAGTTTTGCGGATGTCGGCTAACGAGACCACTGCGTTGAGCTTGCTAATTTTGTGCGTGTCAAATGTCCAGACAACGTAGAAACCCATGTGATGAGGATATGCAAAACAACATTGACGAAGGCAAGTGCATATGGCCGCTATCGTTCCTTGGCGGGAAACAATATCACGACGTGTTTGATCACCACGGTACCTGAATCCATCACAGATTGTGTCCGGATCAAGTCTAACTAACTGGGATGGATGATGATGAATTCTCCGATTTCACCTCTGCGTAGAGCAGGTGGTAAGTAATCACATGGTGATAGTTGAAATGCAGAAGACGTCATTAGCAATCAATTCATTTTCGGCCGTTGGTTACAGCCATTCAAACACATTCTACTAACAGAGAGTCAATCCAGCGAGAATGTAAATAAATGTGTCATGTGATTTGCCAAATAGAGCACAAGGAAAACCAAGCACAAGACGATGCACTCAGTGGCCGTGAAAGCAGTTTCAAAAGGAGAAAACGGAAGAAACAAGTGAAGAGCAGAACACAAAAGCGGAGCATGGTGGGAGCATTTCAATGAATTCCGTTAGTGATCACCTCAACTGGGGTTTGTTCACTCTTTTGATTTGGTGAGTCTGGAGGTTTTGTGAGAGATTGTGACTCGGTAGGTTGTATGCAAACGGAATCGGAGTGCAGCAGGTCATTATAGGCGGGAGACAATGTACGGATGCAAAACAGCCTCATTGTTTCATCCAACTTACGGGTATCTCCGGAGAAGTAAGCTGTTATTGAGCGATGCAGTAATAACAGATTGTGCTGCATAACACGCACCTGTGTGTGGAAAGGGTGAGATAGTCACAGGAAATCGTGGCCGACAGTACGTGACATCATGATCAAAAATGATGGCGAAAAATTTCTAAAACGCAAGTTCGCCTGATAAGTTTCTTAAAGGACGTTTAAGTAAGAACTAGGAAGACGTAAAGGTTGGGGCGGAGATTGAGTGCAAAATATGAAAGAAAATAATAAGACAAGCTAGTTTGTGCCCAATCACATCCATGAAAGTTCCATGATGCATCAGGTTGAGCGCAAGCTGTATTTGCAGACAGCGAATTTGAATACTATCCTCAACAGTTGTGATGTGACTAACCTAACACGGGATACCGGGCATACAAGTAAGAGGGAAAATGTGACAAGTGGCAATTAAAACAAAACACCTTGTTTGTGTATAGCAGTAGCATCAAGTGATGATGTAAAGTGAGTGGCGAGAGAAGAGACAGAACACGAAATTATCACGGTCGAGTTGCCATCCAGATGAGGCAATGAAGACTTACGTGAGGTCTAGAGAATGACATGATATACTACGTGTTCAGAAAAAAACCGTATTCTTGAAATAGCACACCAACCGGCAAAGGGAGCGTATTGCGCCTACTGACGACACGTAGGGGCCTACAGTGTGCCGCGTTTCGCTCTGACCGTTAGTTAGCGTACCCTAAGTAGGTGCCGCGCACTCCATCGGTCGGCTGGCGCAGTAGTTCAAGAGTTCGGTTTCTATTTGAACACAGTACTATGTCGAATGACTGCCTTACACAAACTTTAGAGTTGCGCTTCCCTGACTGGGACGAATCTATAAAGCAAATCACTTGAGAGCGACAGTCCTCAAGTACTTCATGGTAAGGTGGGCCAACGATGCCCAACAAGTAGGTTGACCAGATGAAAGTTTAGTGAAGAGGTGATAGCTGTGCATATAACGCGTGTCCCAATCAGCATAGATATAGAAGCTTCATTCGCATAGTTTCCTTATACGCCATGTCTGTGTCTGTAGACCGTGAGATACGCGATCCCATTAAATGGCCGGATAGTTTTTCAAAAGATCGGTGGAGTTGAGCGACCTCAGTGACCTTGAAACAGTCCAGCCAAAGAATTGGTCAAAAGATTCAAATAAAATTGATAAGCTTGCAGTAGATAGCGCAAAAAGATGTTTTGGGGGAGAGCGGTAACGGCCAATTTAAAGGCGTCGCGTTACTAAAAGTAGAAATGGACAGCATACTGAATGATATAAGACAACAACAATGAGTTGCACAACTCACTCGGTTTTCGTGCAGCAAACGTATCTTGGTATCCACGGCAGTCTTCAAATGCGTAAACGTTTGCCCACTCAAATGGAGCCGAGCGAGAACCTGATCCACGCGACGATCCGATGATGGATTAGCCTGCTTTTGTTTATTTACTGCCGCCTGCAGTGTTTCATACTCCCTACGATTAGCATCGTATTCAATCCGTGCAAAATTCATGCTTTTGACTGTCTGCATGGTGTCATCAAAGGTGCAACGAACCAGGGTACGGATGGCCTGGCAAACGAGGTCCAATACCACTGTGAACGCAAAACACAGTTGGTTAGTGGAAAGTAAGTAAGGAGATTGAGTGTACCGGTTGAGAAAACGAAAAATCGGGTAAGATTTTGCGAAGTGACATAGTGAAGAAGAGAAGAATAGGCATCAGCAGTACGCCGTACCGACATCACTGCCGTGCAACCACCACCGGCCGCACGTTGGCGAAGGATACTGGGAGGGTCACTCGGTCTCCACACTGGCTCGAACCGGCGCCCTCAGGTTATATGGCGAGCTTGTGATCCTTAAGGCTAGGGGCCGACTAGTACGGTAGTTAGTGCGCTTTCGTGCTCTTTAAAAGCCACAATCCAGTGGAAACAGCAGTCTCCTGCAATCTGAAGCAACCTGATGGTGCTTCTGATAAAGGTTGCATGTTGATAACGTAGAAAGCTTGTCTTCCTACATCAGCAATACGCCGGTACGCAGTACTGACACTTCACTGCCGCGTAACCACCCACAGTCGCGCTCGTGTCAAGCATACTGCCAAGGTCGCCCGGTTCCCCACGCAGGCTCAAATCCGCGCTCTCGGATTATGAGGCAGGTTTCTGATCCTTTAGGCCACGGGCCAGCATCTTTCTGCATAAATATGTGGGTATGAAAGCGGTGGTCACTCGCCGACATGAAGTATCTACCGGCTAGTTATCCTTTCTTTAAGTTCGGTAACGCAGCTCATGGCACGTTGTGCTCGAGAATACAATATGCCACGTGTGGGTTACGACTCACACTAGAAGCCATAGAGCAAACATCCGTGTGCCTGTCTTAACTTGTCAAAAGTAGAGTGACCAGATGAAAACAAGCGAACGGTGCAATGTGTTACAGTCAAGTCACGTGACACAGTGGCATTAAACTACGAAGCAGTGAAACATTCCTGACGATGAAAGTTACATCAGTATGGAAATGCTTTATGAGCGTGTGGTGGAAACCTACATTAATAAAAGGCATGACTGGAAAAACAACATAGAGGACCCAAGGCAAACAAAAAAGTCGTCGAAAACGGAAACGATAATTGTGTCCACTTCATCAGACAGCCATTTCTAGTTGGATACAAAGCGAGAAGCTAGGGCACCGATCAATGTGAAAGATTTATCACAAAACTAAAGTGCACACTGATATTCACTGGTCGAATGTTACTTTGGTGTCCAGGAAACTCTGACAGATTTCGTGAAATTTAATGCTTGAAGCAGAGACCTGCGAAACTGAGGTAGAACGTGGGAACATTTTGGCAAAGTGAAAATCTGAGAATTTCAATGTTATCTCATTGCACTTCGAAAAGAGAAATCTGTGTTGACCAAAGCAAAGCAACCAGGTTCTTATGAGGACGGTCTCATTGGCATGCGAAGCATACACATTTCTTGACCCATCCCTAGGATGAAGTTGATACTGCGAAAGTAAATATATTGGTCGCGAGCAATGCGAAGCTTGAATTCAAGAGGGTTTGGAAGATGACTAAATTGAATTAACCATTGGCTTATCGGGTTTCTTAAAAAAGGCAGGACGTCTATAGAAACGAACAGCGCGTACTGGAATGTGAAGCTGCATGTGAACCACCACCAGGTAACTGGTTGTTCACATGCGCTTTCTCGTAGAATGACCATGCGTAGCGCATGTTTTGAGTAGACATGCACAGAGAATGACAAACTGCTTTCGACTGATGGTGATATAGGCATCCGTATACTACTCGGTGTGATATGAGACATGGGCGTTGAGTCAACTGTTTCGTAGCCATACATATGTGGACGGAATGTGAAAGTTAAAATCGAGAGGACGTGAGAGTATACGAATGCGGCGAATTTAATTATTTCAAATTTCAACTAACAGGAAGGATAAATATAAGCCCATTTGAGGAAATTATGTTGCATGAAAATATTGCGTGCATCGGGAATCCTGTGAAAAGTAGTAAGGCTGGATCGAGGTAGCTACCTCGGACTGCAATGAAGTGCAAGCAACTTGCTTACTGTGAGTCCGTTCGTAGATAATATGTGATCCCTCCGTCATATAGTACAGACACTCCGACACGGCATGCGAATGGTTTTGACTCCAGTTTCAAATTCATTTCTCTGGACAGAGCAAATTGTTTGATAAGACGTTTTTATGACGTGTCCGAAGGTTTGGAATAGGTGCAACAAGGGAGAATGCGCTGGATACAGTTATACCTCGTGGCAGCTGAGGTGAGATTAATGCAATTCTCAGACGCTCTTCTTGGTCGTCATACTGTAAATAGTATTACTTACAGAGGATCCATTCAAGCTTGCGTAAGCTGTTTGTCCGCTGGAAAAAATTTAGCAGCACAGACTAGTGCGTTTTGGTAGCACCGCAGTCCAAAAACAATCAGGGTATCTATTACGTTAGCAAAGCATTGACGAGAAGTGTAGAAATGTTTGTACTGAGAACGATGATGTATAAATTTATTCGGACTGGGTGGAATGACTAGATAATAATTGTCCCTTTTCAACTGCTTCTGTCCTCCTATAAAAATTTGGCGTCCCATGCTTGTCAGAAGATGTTAACGGGGTCATCAGTTTTGAACATTTATAGTACAAAACGTAGGACGGAAGGCAGCTAGAACAACATTGAATAACAACCAAAAAATAGAAAAACAGATAAAAACTGCAAAGCATAGTAGTAATTCTTGACTCGAAAACGATCCTCGATCTCGTTGTGAGTGTGTGGCCTTCCATGGATCGCGAACGTGTCGACCAGAAAGCTCAAACGCTCGACTCAAAACAGAAGTCGAAAGATGTCGAAAAGGAACAATCTCCCCCTTCAGAGAAGACAAAACGATGTACATAGGATAGGACTTCATTGGCTTATAAAGTCCTTCTACCAAATGGCTTGGAAATAGTCAATGTGGCAAAATGTAATTGGTTGAAGCAAGGTCACAACCATGAGAAAAGCTAAGCAGCAAGGATCTCGATAGCCGGACGCAGTACTCAACGGATTTCGTTAGAAATTCCTTCTCCAAACATCTCCCATTTGTGAATGAGTCACATGTTTTCAGAGTGAGGTTCATCTGAATCGGAATCAGTGACTTCCAGTGTGGATCCGACCATCTTCTCGGTGTTAACTCCGGAATGGATGTAGAAAGCGGTCTCCTCTTCAGATTTGAAATCATCTGGGTTGATACGGAACATGTATAACAACAACAGGATGTGTTGGCGATACAATAGCTGAAACAGGATTGTAACTGATTAGCGTGCAGAACCCAAACCTCGGAAGTAACAGCAACGTCATACGTGACACTTCCAGTTCGACAAATGATACGTCCTGGTAACATGGTTGCTGTGGCGGTTCTTTGACAGCATAGGTCAGCCTACAAAGAAAACACGGTTCAGAGCACCGCGTCTTCTGTTGACCTGTTGTTCCATTTTGCAGTTTCGGTTCAAACTGTTCCTATCAACAGGTTTAAGCAAATCGATACTGGATAGTAAGTTCCGTTGCATCAAGGCTTCAGCCGGAGATTTACCTAGAGGCGTCTGTGGAGTTCGAGTTATCCTATAAGCAAAACGTCTTAAGGATCTCGGCCATCGGTCCTTCCCCCTTCGTCTTCAGTAGTGCTCTCTTGAAGGTGCCCACGAAGCGCTCTGCTAGGTCGTTCAACTGCGGATGGTATGGAAGTAACCTAATGCGGGGTATGGCCGGTTTTATGCAAAATTCCTCGAAAATCGCTGAGGTGAACTGAGTTCTGCTGTCAGCCACCAACTTGTTTGGATACCTGAAGCAACTGAAAACCCGACGAAATGTACTAATGGTTGCTGAAGCAGTAGTCGATAGCATGCGCAGAACTTCTGGTCACTTACTGTAGGCGTCAACCGGGATAAGGAAACTGTTTCCATTAATAGGCCCTGCATAATCCGCATGGAACATTGATCATGGTTTTCCAAAATCGGACCAACAATTGAGCTGTCTTCCTTGGGGACTTCTAAGCAAATGTACATGTAGAACAAGAGCTGGCAAACTCATTGACTTGAGCATCGAGATAAGGCCAGTACACGTAGGTTTTGGCCAATGTCTTCATGCGGTTTATTCGCGGCTCTCCGGTGTGGAACTGTTTCGGAACTCTTGGATGAGGGTTATTAGGAACCACTACCCATTCTGCGAAGAGTAGAGAGCCAATGACAATTGGCAGGGAATTGCAACGTTGATGAAAGTGCTTCAGTTCACTGACTTCAATCTTCTGTGGCGTAATGTGCTGTTGTGGCACGTATCTGAATTGTTAACTGGGATGGCTTTAAATGCATCTGGGACAACGCAACGAACTTCAGGCTCGATCAAGATGCTTGCCACCACGATGTCCCCTGGCTCATGTGGATCTCTGTCCATGAGGAGTGATAAAACATCAGCCTAAACCATGTTCCCGGTTGATTGGTACTTGGTTACAAGATCGTATCCCAAAATTAATGTGACCCACCCCTGAAAGCGAATTGCTGAGTACAATGGAACCGAAGATAGCAAGTAGGGGCTTAGATCCGTGACCGGAGTAAAATAGCGGTCATAAAGCATTTTGTAAAATTTATTAATGAGGAATATGATCGCAATGCCACAATTTGGCTGTAGCTACGTTCCGCAGGTGTCAACGATCGGGCGGCATGAGCAATCGCCTTCTCATTTCCGTCAGGAAAGCAGTGAGATATGACCACGCCGACTCCATAATTAGACGCATCAGAAGCAACAATGATGTCCAGCCTCGGGTCGCAGTGGGTCAAAAGCAGGTCTGACGATAGCATGTCTTTGATCCTGTCAAAATCTTGGTTAAATTTTGTGCTCCAACCCCACTTGGAGTCCTTGAGGAGTAACGCGTTCAATGGACCCCGTATAACATGCACTGTTGGCAAAAATGCACTGTAGTGACTCATTAATTCCAAGAAGGATAGTAGCGTAGTTACATCATGTGGTAGAAGCAGTTCTGGATGGCCTCAAAAGTAGCGGGGTCTGGTATTCGACCGTGCTGATCAATGATGGATCCCAAGTATATTACCGAATCCAGGTACAAAAACATTTTTTTCTCTTTCAAGCGAAAGCCATAGTCATTCCACTAAACATGTTCTCAATCCGGTTTTTCCATATCAACTGCATCAATGCCCATGATAAGTATATCGTCAAGATATGCTGCAACAGATGGAATATTCTGTAGCATGGTGCAAACGATCTATTGAAAAATGGCAGGTACCGTTTTTACTCTAAATGATAGGCGGATGTATCGAAACAGACCGCGGTGAGTATTGACGGTCAATAGCTCTTGAGAATCCACAGAAACTTTCACTTAAAGGTGTGCATTCGACAGGTCCAGTTTGGCGAAGCATTCATCACCATTAAGCCTTACGAACAAATGATCCAGCACAGGCGATGGGTATTAGTGATTTTCCAGAGCGGCATTCAGACCGGTGGAGAAATGTAAACAAATTCGACTTTCCGGCTTGGGTTCTCGATCATCACCATAGGAGCAGTCCATGATGAGTAATTTACAGGTTGATGGATTCCAGGATGTTGTAATCTCTCGAGTTCCTGAGCAACGCTTGGTAATACCGCATACGGTACTAAACACTTGGGTTAGAAAACAGGTTTTGTGTCGGGGCGGAAGGACAATACTGACTTGGTTTTCATGCAACAACCAAGCTCATCCAGGAACACTTGAGCGAATTTATGGCACAAACGCTCTGAAAGCACATTAATGGGTAGGTGGTTACACATTGAACACCCAGCTGATCACATACAAAATGAAGTGGGACGTCTGAAAGCCTGAGTTTTGCGATCTAACCAAGCCCCAAGAGTTTTAGACTTAGCACATTATTGAAAATTACGGAACATCTGCGAGTTTCAGGACTCCACCGGAAGTATTCAGCGCTGTGCGATTTGTCGGATTTAGGGGGTTGACCGATCAGATCTCGTGCTTTGTAGCTATTGTCACAGATGCTGTATCCAGCTGGAGACACAGGAATGTTGCTGATATGCAGTCACATATATACGCCGTGTTTTGCGTCCGGGTCGAAAGTAGCCATAACAGGATTTATTTTTATCCGGCTTTCTTGAGATGGCTGTACTGAGTCTTCGGAAGTGTTCCATTGTTTGGGCGGCAATGATATTCTTTGCGTCCTCTACTGTGACATTTCTGACAGCGATGCTTATTGAATGGACACAGTCAGACATAATGCCAACCAACACCCTGCCAGTAGGCTGTTGGAGGTTTGTTGAAGGTGCCGCTTCTAGAGTAACTAGTGGGCTTTGTTAGGGGCTTTTTGTCTCAGCATGCATGTTACTGGAGCCATGGAGTGATCTCCGTCCAATCATGGCAGTATCGTGTTTCAGGTGCAACAAACGGTGGCACTCTGAAATGACTGATCTCAGATTCATGGTAGGATCCTACTGCGTCTTATTGAGTAGGCTAGTACGAATATCTGAGTCTCGAGACGATGGTAGTTCACAGAAAACCAGACACCCGATTTGGTCTCTCGTCATTCACTTAAACTTGAAACCCCCATAATGAAGTAGTAACGTAGGACACGAAATCATCACAATCGCTTCCGACAAATTTGAAACAGGAATACCAGACGTTCAAAATAAAGGACGCTTCTCCAAAGATTTCTTTCGACAGTTCAACGATTTCGTCAAAGTCGAAATATTTCGCACTCTTGGGAAGAACAAAATGCACAAATCTTTCGTGTTTCTGAGTCCAAAGTGTTCGTAGAAGCGACCGCAATTTCCAATCATCCGTATCAGCCAGCTCTGTCTGGAATGTGTCATCGTATTCGAGTGTATCCAGCATCTAGATCATAACTCAATTCTGTGATGGTTCCTGTATTCGTATTAACGGATGGCTGCTTCCCGTCAGTTGAGGATGAATGAACATGTAATTCTTGCTAAAGCTTTTCGATATGCCGCACTTGTGATTTATCAAATAGCTTTGCGGCTGCTGTAGGATCAAGACGAGCTCTTACATCGAGAGCGGGATCGTGGCAAGCTAATCGCAATATTTCTCCGTCACCCGAAAAATATGTTGTGACCGTCTATGAATCGCGAACGTGTCGACCAGAAAGCTCAAACGCTCGACGAAAACAGAAGTCGAAAGACGAAAAAGGAACAACATCTACAGAGAAGACAAAACGAGGTATATAGGATACGAGTTAACTGGCATATAAAGTCTTTATACCAAATGGTCTCGAAACAGTCAATGCGGCAAATGCCATTGGATGAGCCAGGGTTACGACCATGAGACAAGCCAGTCTCGATCTAGATGACTGGATGCTGTACTCAACCGATTTCGTTACGGCTTGTATTTCCTAACTGTGGGGTGTAGGTAGCAACGACAAGAAGTCACGTATTGGCCCCACGCAACTTCGAAGCTGTGAGCGGGCCAGCCAATTTGACGGCACACATCCAGTTACTGACTGGGATCCATACGACCACATTAACATCAGCCCGGGGACTCAGGACAATCTCCGGAAGGGGTTTGATCGCCATTCGAAAGAGTGTTGACAGTATCATATGAAGCGGGTAGAGTACAGAGCTTCACTCCTTCAAGCGAGTCTTCGGTAAGCATTACATACCGATAGGTAGGGCAAGTGCAGCATGTGGACGGATCTGCAGCAAATTGCGCACGTTGAGATATCCCGGTCTCAGCGGGAATCGAAGCCTCCGAATAGAAGCGAATGAACAGTTGTTTTAAAATCGGTAGAACATGGCCTTAACCATGGAGCAGGAGCGATACTGGGTACTGAGGTGAGGAAGGAAGCTAGAAAACAAACGACTACGATGGCACAGTGAGCGAATGCCAAGAAGTAGGGTTGAAAACAAGGGGATAAAAATGAAATTGGAGCTGGGCAATAAAGATTAAAATAAGTGTAAGGGGAGGGGTGAAACAACATGAAGGTCTAAGAAGTAGTGCCCTAAGCACAAACCACCCTGCTGGATGCAGCAGATACGGTATCGCTGATTATTCTCTGCAACAGCCAAAGAATCAAAATGTGCTTGACCAGGAGTTCATTTTATTGTCAATAACTAGTTACTTCCAATACATACCGAGTAATTTTTCTCCATTGAACACGAGAGACCGATGGGCATCGGAATTGAGGGAGAACCCCTCGGCTAGCTCCAATTGCTGTTGCCCAAGGGATGCCAGTTGGACAGTCAAGCGACGTTGCACCTCTATGGTACGAGAAAGACTGGTGGAAAATTGTTGTAGGTTGTTCAGTAGGAGTTTGTATTGCCCTTGCAGTTGCCTAGGGTAACAACAGAAGGCTGTGACCAAATGCGTTGAAGGAGTAAAATAATGGAAATCACTGAGTATGAACAAAGGTAGGAAGTTATTAAAGCATCATCTACCAAGATGGATGATAAGTTAACAAAAACCAGCAATCACCTTCATCAGTATCATCAATAACAGCAGTACATCAGCCATATGAACTGATGCTTAGCCGCCAGAGCTAAACAATCACCATTGCCGATTAAGAGTAGAGCATACGGTGCTGCAAATTTGTCTATAACTAGGAAATATCTGATGCAAGTTGGGAAAAAAGGTTGCACAGACGGTTTGTGTATGACAGCGAGGTCACAGCAGAAGGAAGAGAAATACTGCTGTCGATGACGCACAATGCTGCGACTAGTATAATCGTAAGGAGTATAGATACGGCCACAACATGCAGAAGAGATCAAGAGAGCGGTAGCACAGTAAAACCTCTGAAGAAGACCACCTCTTTAAGTTCATCGCTGTTTTAATGGCTTGAACATCCACGATGTAAACCATATGGAACCAGAATTTCGTAACTTGTGTCGGCCATAACAGCCATAATTATTGCAACCTCCATCATTTGACTATTTGAAAGTTTACCGTGGAATCGTCGCCGAACGACAACTTTATTCAAATAATAATGTGTATGTAGCGGAATTTTCAATGTGTGAAATTCTCCTGACCCACAATCAATGCGATTCACGGTTCTGCGGATGTTTCACGATACATCATGTTCATTGTGCTACATCAATCTATTAGCAGGTAACTGGCGATCCTGGAGACAAAAGTACCATAATTTCAGCCTGTACGTGAATTTGATAGGCACATCCATCTGTCGCAACGCTATCGGAGACGGTGGAAGGCGTATTCTAGCCAGCATTCCCTTTGGTAATGATGAAGAAGGAAGATCCAGCCATTGCGCTGCAACAATTTGAAGAATATTGTCTCGAGAAAGCGAATGAAACATTTGAGCGTTTCCAGTATTTTTCAGAGGAGCCGAGGGCCGGGAGAATCCGTCATCCAGTATGTGACCACGTTGAAGCATATGGCCAAACCATGTAGTTTTTGCAAATGCATTACTGTTAAAGTGATTCGAGACCGAGTGGTCCTGGGAATCTAGAATGCAGCGCTGATGAAGAGACTGCTTAGAAGTCCCGGTATAAGTGTTACCAGGTGCAATGCTGTGTGTAACATCGAAGAGGTGACGGAACGAAAAATGGTTACCTTGAGCGCCAGGTCTGTGCCGGAAGTCAGCAAGATTGATCAGTAGAACGAAACAAGCAGTTTAATGTCATGTCAATTCTGTGAGGATAAACACGTTCAGTGGACCGAGAAATGCTCAGCCTATGGAAAAACTTACATGAACTGTAGAGAGAGAAATCATTTCGCAAAGCAGTGCAGAGCCCGTGTGATCAGTATGCTGGGAGGTGAGGTTCCGAAAGTCACCGGACTTAACAAAGAGCGAAAGGCTAAAGGGGTATTCCCTGCAGTTATCACAGATGACACAAGAAGGTGGTCTTAACTAGACACTGGCGCAACTTTGAATGTCCCACCAGCCAGTTACGTTGGTGTTTCTAAGATACAGCAGTCGGAAACAAAACGCTAGATGTGGAACAGTACTACAACGGGTGCCACAAGTACTACCAGCCTCACTGTCACCAATCCAAAAAACGGACGATCCTATGTACTTGAGTTTTTTTATTGTGGCTCAAAATGCAGTGGCAATGTTGAGTGTCGATGTCATTCGTCAATATTAATCATGATGTTTTATGCACACACGAAAAAAAAGGTGTTTTTGTCCAGTATTCTACTAATTTTGGTTCGTCGTTGGGTCACCTTTCCGGTACCGTCAGCCTATCAATAAGAGATGACGTGATGCCTATTGTTCTGCCAGTAAGAGGAGTCGCTGTGGCGGTGCGCGAGAAATTCAGAGAAGAGCTAAAAGGACTACTGGACAGGAGGGTTATTCCAATGACCGGAGAGTCGAGTGACTGGGTCATCCAGGTGGTGGTAACCTTAAAAATTCCGGGGACATCCGATTAAGTATTGATTCAAAGTCCCTTAACTGGCATCAGATAAAGCATCCTGTTTGACTAAAAGCATCCTAATTTAGTTTCGTTTGGAGGAGGTTTGGTCATTCACAATCATTTAGGGTTTGGCTTTATGGCTGCTGCATTGCGTAAATACAATTAGTAGGTAGTTTTCCGCTTCACGTTTACGATATTTTAACCATGAATCTTCCGTTTCTGAATTTCAGGGTGCTTTGGAAAATATTTTGGGTGACCAATGTGTTTTCCATAAGGCGTACATTTAGACTGCTGAGAGCCAAAAGTCTGGTCATTTAGGGCGTTACAACACTCGCACTAAGGCACACGTCTTCGCTGCTCGCGCTGAAGGGATGCATATTCCGTCAACGTTACGCGGTGATCGATTACAGGCTTGTAAGTAAGTACTACCACAGGGACGGATTATTCGTCACTCATGGTGTTCTAAAAATCACTTGAGCTGACAGAGAGTACGGTTAAAAAGAAAGATTTTACGCACTAAACAGCGGCGATAATGATTTAGAAAATCAGTTAACAACATCCATGGACATATAAAGACATTTATCTTCATCTTATTTTGCTTCTCGGCGAGGGCCCAAAAGCACGCTTTAATGGAAGGGCTCTCTGTCCATATATACGGATAAATTGATAATTCAAAGGTACCATAATTCTGCATAAGTTTCTTATGATTTCACAAAATCTTCGCTGTTAAAAGGTCACTTAAATATGTCTGCTATGATGTATCAACTGCTATTAAACTCACAAACCCCTAGTGTTACATATCTCATTATACTAATAATGCGTTTCACATTACAATTCCGAGGCTAAAAACATCGGTACAATAGGAGACTAATTAAGTTTTCCAGGACGAGACTATCAGTACACTGCAAGTAATTTTATTAAATGGGCTCAGAAATAGTATGCCTATATTTTATAACTTGTAGTGAATAATTTCTAATTTAGTTACCAATATTGCGCTAGTGTTACGCATGTTTAAGGCAAATATAGCTGCATGCATTACACACTTGGATGTTACACCATCGATACGTAGACACATAGGAACGCGAGTTGAATATTGGCACTTTAGTAACAGAGCGTGTACAGCTGATTGACTGGGCACTAGTTTGCATTCATTTCAAAACCGTTTTGCAGCACATATCGTCTGTGTTCAGTTCTGCGTCTAACAACATTTAGACAGAATGCCGAGAAGACGCATAAAAGATAACCCACGGACTAATAACTGACGCACGTGCCGACAAACTTGTCACAAAGGTTAGCTTCTAGGGTATAACTGGCGGAAATCCAATGTTTTTAACGGACTTCCAAGACTGCGAATTAGTTAAATACAGCATCCTTGAAAACGGGCGACCTGAATTTGACTTTTAGCATTACAATGCGCACACTGTGCAGTATTGGACATACTGGAGTGGATATTTTTTGTCTTAATTAATTCAATAAATTTGTAGCATTTCGTTAACCCTATTTATAAGCATTCAAATCGGCGGCAAGCGGTTGATGGCTTTTTAGCACACTAAAACACACGTTTGAAGGTTTACCAGATTAGAGTAACAGAATCTAGAAGTCAATTGTTTTACTCCAGTCTGACCAATCAACCAACGTCGCCATCTTTAAAGTATCCTGCTAGGACTGCGACTACCGGGCAGCTCAAGCGGCTTTGCCAGTTAAACATTACTGTTCAAAATGCCTTACGGCTGTGTTGCAGGACGTGGTGGGTTTTCGCCCGGCAAACGTTCTCCCTATAAAAAGCCACACATGTCTGTTTAACAATACTGAGACGTGGTGTATGTGACTCGCCACTGAATAAAGTCACTGTCCACAGCTTCATACTGCAAGTCGACTAGACTCATATTTCAACTCTTCCCGACACATGCAATTATATGTCACTCTCCGTTTATATGCACCGTTTCATTGCACTTATCGTGCTTTGACCGTTTCAACTACACACGATTGAACCCGAAGTATCGTCGCGATACACAACTGCTTCTAATCCTTGATCATGCCTGATTTGGTGTGTCTCTATGCCTTTGAGAATAAACTATTTATTTATTTATCTATTTATTTACTATAGCAAACGATTGCTTCTAAACCTCTCGGAAATCAAAGCATATAGCAGTTGTGAATATGCCATATCTTACCTTTCTTTTTATCCATCCCGTAACCGACCAACTTTTACCACTTGTTAAAATTAACCCGTTTTGTTAACGCAACTTTGAACGTGTTCGCATCTTGCTGACTTCGTTTGGTGCTGCCTGTGTTTGCGCCGTAGCCACGTCTTTCCAGCAGTCGGATAAATTGCTATCAATCACCAGTCGTCACGGGGACGAGACCACCGGGCGCCAAGTTTCCCAAATTGGCACTAAATTCGGTAGTCATATGGTTATTGTTGATAGTTATACATTTGATATCATAAAGCGTTGAACAATTTGTACATTTTGTCTTTACTTACATTAATTATCCCCTAAATGAATTAGTTTGAATGCATCATTATTCATGCTACCATTGGTCCATAGCTGCACCATTAGATTACTTGCATTGTAAGACCGCTATGCTCTTAAATGATAGGAATTGGAAAAGATTGAGGTGTTTCCAGAGAGGCAGGAGCGGACCAGACCCGCGAAACTTCTAACAGAAGCGCGCTACATAGTACGGCAGAATGGCAGGTTAAAATGGACGTTAAGGCTAATGATTTATAACGAAGTATTAACTTTCATGCAATGAGACTGTTATATTCAGCCTCATCCTTATGCACGTTAGCTCGAGGTGGGAACACCTCAACTACTGTGCCGCAGTACATAAAAGAAAGAATGGGGCAAAAGGCAACTGGTGCAAGCCAGCTGAGCTACCGGTAACAGATAGGCATCGTAAAGCGAGAAGCAGGATCGTTACGCTTTAGAACCAATACGCGAATATAAGGTCAAACGCCGAT